GGTATCTTCCAGTGCATTTCCTGATCAGGTTGGTTCATTCTTTCCTGCTTTAGTTGGGGCCTAGTTTGTTCCAAGTCTTACCACTGCGTCTGTACTTTATTATTTAAACTGGTTAGGATTATTTAAATTGGTCAGCACAGAAGTTGAACGTTGTTTACACTTTTTTTCTATAAACTACAAAACTTCTATTCTTTAGTGGGATAAAGCACTCAGAAGTCCCTCCCCCCCCGAAATTTTGCTTTTTCACATTTAGAAAGTGTTTCCTCTAGAAACCTGAATAGTTAGAAAAGGTAGCCCTCTTAACAGGCCTGGGAGATAGCAGTTAAGGATTAATTTCATGTTGTTTTATTTCTGGAAAGTTTATGTTTGGCCGCAAAGGACTGGGTGTGAATAGGATGGGTGCTGGAATCAAGGTCACCTAGGATCTTTGTTCTTACCTTTGGGAAGATTTTATTACAATAACCTGGGCTTCCGAGAAATTGCCATTGTTTATCATATCCATCAGAGTTTATTTTTATACCCCAAAATGTGTTTCTTATATTCTGAGCACTTGCATGAGTTATAGACAGACATCAACTAATAAGGCAACCTAAATATTGAAGCCACCTTTCCAAATAGGAAAAACTGGTATCTTCCTGCCCCAGAAGTTTCTCCTCGAGATCCTGCTCATTTCAGGCTTGTATCCAAAGAACAGACACCCTGGGATTCTATAAAGCTGACCTTTGAAGCAACAGGTAAGTCAAACAACAATTTTTTCTTCTTTTCTTCACTTCTTAAAATTTTTAATAAGCACGTTTTTCCCTCAATTTGTAATAGTGACCAGTAACTTCGCAAGAACTTAGTGTTTCTAATAGGAATTGAAGCTGGTTAATTATGATTTTTAAGAGAAAATTTAATGGGCTTTATTTTTTAGAGCAGTTTTATGTTTACAGAAAAACTGAGTAGAAAGTACAAAGAATTGCCAAGCCTCTCCCCTCTCTCGGCTTCTCTTACTAGTAATGTCTTACATTAGTGTGGTTTCTTACAATTGATGAACCACATTGATACATTATGATTAACTGAAGTCCTTACTTTGCATTGGGTTTGGTTCACTCTTTGTGTTTAGTTTCTGTGGGTTTTGACACAGGCATAGTGGCATGCAGCCCCCATGACAGTATCATCCAGAACAGATTCACTTTCCTACAAGATCCCTGCTCCACTTCCGCCCTCTGTCCTCCATGCTCCCTCTGGCAGCCTCTCATCTTTTTACTGTCACTGCTTTGTCTTTTCAAGAACATCATATACCTGGAATCATACTTTGTAGCCTTCTCAGATGGGCTTCGTTCATTTAGCAGTATGCACTTAAGGTGCCTTTATGTCTTTTAGTGGCTTGATAGCTTTTTTTTT